AAATACCTATCAAACGATCAGCGGATGCGACACATGGTAGTGAGTGGGGCGTGGGACACTCACGGCGGCGACTCATCACACGTGAGCCGGGAGGCGCTCGACACGAGTACTGAGGGCGGCGCGGCGGGGGTGCCCACACCGGAGAGTTTATTTGTTGGGAGCCTTACACTCCCGATATTTTGGCGATGCTCCGGTGCCCTGCTGAAGAGGTGTTGGTCTTTCAGGGGCTGTGGTTAGCTGGATAGGGCGGAGTAGATTGGACTCGGAGTCGAAAGTTATTGTTTGCGTAACCTGTTGCGCAGAAGGGCGATCCAATTCATTCCTGCAGGATCGTTTAGCCAGGGCCTGTTGTTACCAGGAACCGTACTGACACTAAGCGGTAAGACGCGCCGAAAGACGTTGTCTAATTAGTGACGCGCATGAATGGATTAACGAAATTCCCACTGTCCCTATCTACTATCTAGCGAAACCACTGCCAAGGGAACAGGCTTGGAAAAATTAGCCGGAAAAAAAGACCCTGTTGAGCTTGACTCTAGTCTGGCAAAAAGTCTGGTGCCGTCAAAGACAAGTCGGTCAAGCCCGCGACCGTCGTCCCCCTCCCTAAGCCAACGTCTGTCACAGATAGACCGTGGACAGAGGTGGTAAAGAGAGGGAAGAGGAAGGAAGGGGGTGGTGCTCCTACCGCTGCACAATCGGCAGCGAAAGGAAAGGCACCCCCGAAAAGGGCCACCGAAAAAGCTCCCTCGAAAGGGGATACTACATCGGGAGAGGCCAACGTAAAGGCCCCTGCCACCAAACCAGTGCCCCCAAAGAGAAAGGTGCCGCGCACCTCCGCCGTTGTCCTCACGTGCCCTGAGGGCAACTATGCGGAATGTATGTTGGAGGTGCGCCGGCGGATAAAGCTGGCGGATTTAGGGATCCAGTCTCACAACATCCGTCGCACGGCCACCAACGCGTATAGCATCAAAGTGGCCGGCGAAGGAAACAAGAAGAAGGCAGACACCTTGGCCATTAAGATGGCCGAGGTGCTCGCGGGGAAGGAGAGAGTCCGTGTTGCGAGGCTTGAGCTCATGGCAGAGCTCAGGCTGAGCAACATGGATGATTCGGTGTCGAAGGCCGATGCTAGGAAGACTCTGGCGGAAAAGGGGAAGATCCCCCCGACCGCCATCAAAGTGGGTCTCCCGAAGCGAGTGGCGAACGGCCTCTACACTGTGGTCGTGTGCTGCCCGCTGACGCTGGCAAATTTACTTTCTCGGGAAAGGAAAATAGTCATTGGATGGGCCAAAGCAAAGGTGGAGTTGCTGACAAAAAGGCCCCTCCAATGCTACAGGTGCATGTCGTTCGGGCACACCCGGGCGACATGCACCAGCGTGGTCGACCGCACTGGACTGTGCTACCGGTGCGGCAAGGCCACCTCGCCAAAATATGCACAGACGAACCACACTGCGTCGTCTGTGCGGGCGCGGGACGACCTGCCAACCATCGGGTTAGTGGGAAGTCCTGCAAAGGCCCGAAAAAGACCGGGGAAAATGTCCCCGATATAGGCAAGGCCCAGGCGAGCGGAGGAGAAAAGTTTCCCGCAAAACTGAAGACGAAGGGCCCTGCACAACCAACCAAAAAGGCTGGCAGTAAAAGCGGCAAGGCCAAATCGGCCCAAAAGCCGCCAAAGGAGGGAGAGACTCCACGTCCACTAATTAGAATGCTCAGCAATAAGCGAGCGAACGTGGATGTCTCCCGCTTTCAGAAGAGTAAGCAGGAGACAGCGGGAGAAGGAGGAAAAAAGGCGACAAGGTGGGCAAGCCTACACTAATTGTCGCCTTAACGTCGGGGGGTGTGGGGAAGAGAGCAGCAAAGGCCATTGAACCGGCGCCGAAGGTAGCCGAACCCATTTCCATGAAAGTGTGCGAGGAGGCGAAAATGGTCGCGATAGCTGCTGGCTCACTTGAGCCAGCAGAAAAGGCAGAGTAGGCAGCAGGTGAGGGCTCAGTTGGATGGACCGAGCCCGCGGTAACCCAGAGTGCGGCAAGGCCAATTTCCGACCCCGCCGCCGCGATAGAGGGCATCGAGCTGGAGGACTCTGAGGACAAACAAAAATGTCTCTCAAAGTCTTTACAAGTGAACCTAAACCACTGCCGCGCGGCCCAAAATCTTTTCAGTCAGACGATGGCCGAGCGTGGGAGTGGGTTGGGAATTGTCGCGGAGCCATGGCTGATCCCGAACGACCATCCACATTGGTTCGCGGACTGCCGCGGCTCCGCGGCCATCTACTGGAGGCCGCTGCCACGATCCCCGCCGTGCACTCGTGTCGAGGCCGGCGAGGGATACGTGGTGGCGAAGTGGGGGCCCATACTCATTGTTGCGGTATATACCCCTCTTAGCTGGGACTTGGCAAAGATTGAGGGAGTGCTGGACGTGATAGATTTGTGCGTCCGACAGCACCCCCAGAGCCAGGTAATAGTCGCCGGGGACTTCAATGCAAAATCTGCACTGTGGGGTTTCCGGCGGCCAAATGTGAGGGGTCCCACCCTGGAGGGGTGGGCGGCGGGCCTAGGCCTGTGCCTAATAAACAGGGGCCGTAAAAGCACGTGCGTGCGTCGGCAGGCACGGCGCGCTGTATTCGTGATTGGGGGATGATGGAAGGTAGTGAGACGCTGTCGGACCACCATCTGATAGAGATGGTGGTCCAAGTCGCCCCCCCGCACGTGCTAGCCCGCCGCCGCAAAACGGAGGGATCAAAGAGATGGGCCCTCAAGAAGTTGGACCCGGACCGCCTAAGGGCGGCGGTCCTGGGTCTGACTTGGGGAGATTTCGAGGAGGAAGAGGGCGGTGACGCCGCGGGGAACTACGACCTAAAGTCGGAAGTCGAGAGGTTGCGGGAGCTCATGGAACGCGCGTGCGACATCGCGATGCCCCGCAGCCGTAAACCTCCCTCGCGGCGCGCCGCATACTGGTGGACCAAGGAGATTGAACGCTCTTAGGCGCTCTTCGGTCTAAGCGAAGAGACGATGGCTGAGGGCCCGCGCTGTACGTAGGGCCCTCACAGAGCCAGCGACGGGGGAGGCCTGGCGTTCCGCCCGCCAAGACCTCTCCCGGGCGATTAGAGCGGCCAAAGAGTCCTCCTAGAAGGAGCTCCTCGCCACACTCGACGAGGATCCATGGGGGCGTCCCTACAGGCTTGTTATGAATAAGCTTAAGCCATGGACGCCCCCTATTACGGAAACTCTGGACCCCCCGTTTGCCAGCAGAGTGGTGGACGCATTGTTCCCCGCCGGCGACGGAGGTGAAGTAAGGTTCCCTCCACAGCCCGAGGTGGAGTGGGACGAAAAGCTGGGGGTCTCGGAAGAAGAGTTGGCGAGGGCCCTCCGCAGGGTCAAGAAGGGCAAAGCGCCTGGCCCTGACGGAGTACCAGGGAGGGCTTGGACCTTGGCCGCCGGGGAACTGACCGGTCGAATGGGACAAATATTCAACGTTCTTATTCTTTTTTCTAACACTTCCTTTAATTTAGCGATACATTTCTCTCGATTATTAGGAATGTCTGAGATTCCATGTTCTTGAAGCTTTTCCTGCAATTGGGGCAGAGTGAATGCCTCGAATTGTTGATGCGTAGCCATTCTGATGTACGATCACGAGCCGATCACAAGATTTGCATGTCGTGACTTGTTCGAACGTGTCCGACCCGGTTGCGCGCCCGATTACCAAGATGGCGGACAACGAAACGCAAAACGCGGGAACGGCGATATAGCGCGTTTTTTTCACGCACTTAATTACGCCAAAAGAGGTCTTGGAAATTAAATTTCCACGAACCGGAAACGATCGTCGGTTCACCCTTGCACCAGGTTAACGAGACAACTCGGTCAAATGCACTGTCACGAGCCCGGAATGTGTCGGTGCCGATATTTTCTGCAATGGCGGTCGGCCGATGCAGAACAGCAGGAAGACAATACGCACTCGCGCCAGCTTCACTGTAATGTCTGAGCTCACCGATACTGAGCTAAAATCGGGTAATGCAAGACTGTAGGAACAACGGCAGAACAACGCGCACCCTCGTGCTTCTCCGTGGAAGTTCTAAAGTCAGCACGAGATCCTTGAATGTTGCCAAGTCGTAACGTGTTCAAACCGGTTACCACTTGATACTGCGGTGAAACCGTTACCGAACTGAGAGTCAACGGTAGAACAAACGCGTACGCGTACTTCTCCGTAAAAAGACTCGAGCTCGCCGTATTACTGAGTCGACGACCGCGGATGTATCCCACTTCTGAGCTGTAAGGAAAGCCTTTTCGAACCGAGTAAGTGGGCTTGGTGTCAGGATTGAGGGCAGCCAGAAAGGATTTTCACAGGGACGAGTAATCATAGGAACACACAACTTGAGCACAGGACTTTATTCCGATATAATTAGAGTCGCGAGCGGTACGTGCGACCTGGTCGGCGGTCGTGAGCGAAGTGTTGCAGCCGCTGCTGCCGCTTCCGAAATCCCGCGCGCAACCTGAGCGCCGCCCGCCAATCAGCGTCCTTCGCCAATGGGCGTTGCCGCCGCGTACGCCATCTCGAACCGCGCGCAATGCCTGATGGCGTTTTCGATTTGCGACTCGACCCGACTCGGGTCGCATCATGTATACAGGACTCTAACATCATTGACGTGAAATACATACATATCTATGTATCTATGTATGTATGTATTCCACGTCCATTGATGCGACCCAAGTCGGGTCGAGTAGCAAATCGAAAACGCCATGAGCGCAGTTAATAATAATTAATGCCTCTAGCCAATGGGCGTTGCCGCCGCGCACGCCATCCAACCGCGCGCAATATAAATGAGGCCTACGACCTTGGCTGACGTTTACATTATCAAACTATCATGTTTCAGCAAAATAAAACAATATAAGGATACTCGAATGCAAATCTCGTCACCAATGGTGTGCTACGTACTAATGTGGTTATTTTTATGGAATATCAAGTAGCATACGTGCCCAAACGTAATAAAAAACATATGTCCTTACATCTAATTACATAATATAATTATTTACATGCTTTTTGGCTTTGTCTGTTACCGCTGAGTCAGAACGACTGACTCCTCGACCTGTGTGGACTCTGCTGGCTTCGTCGTCTCTCCGGAAGCTGGCTCGCCTCTGGCTGGATTCCACCACCTCCATCACGTTAGCGGCCAATTGAGCCAAATTGACCTCGGCCAGACCACCCTGCGCCGTCTCTGCCATCAACGTGTCCGAACCGCCCCCTTGCTCTCTCAGGGCCTCGAGTTCCATCCTAAGTTGGTCCTCGTCGATATAAACCTGCGAACAGATAATCGTGTCCGCTGCTGGCTCCTCGGCACTCGCAATAGTTGAATCGACTGATGTTGACGTCCTTCTCGGTCCGGGTGTCTGCAGTCCTCTCTCACTGTCCTCTCTCACCGCTCTCAAGCTCCCCACGGTTGGCATCGCGTCCTCCACTTCCTGGGTCGCAATCTCGGAAACTACGGGCCTAGACGCCGGTTCCAGTATCTCCCGCCGTTTTTTAGAAATTTAGTTTATTTTATTAAAAGGTGTGGGGGAGGAATTTCCATTCTAATCAATGTTTATTTTGCGTCAAACGGCACCGGTCGCGATGCTCGAGCTACCGTAGTTCCTGAGTTATTGCATTTTTTGAACAACCACCCCCCATTTCCAAATTACTTGGGGCGGTGCGAACTCGGTCTTAGGGTTATTTCCCCAAGATTCTTATGGGGTTACCGAAATCGAGCTGTTGAAATTTACAAATCACCCGGTAGCGCTTGGAAATAATTAATAGTAGTAATATTTATTTCGATTCCGAGGAATTACAAAATGGCGTTTTTTAGGGACGTACCCCTTTACAACGTTTCTCTTACTCTACCCGACCTGGCCGTAGGCGACCCTTCACATGCTGATCTCTCCCACCCTTTCGCGGGAACTTGGTTGGACTTACCTACGTGAGACCCTTTCACACATACACTCACACTCCTTTGACCTAACCTAACTGACCTAATTCCCCTGTCCTGTTTGATTCTGAGCAACCCTTCTGTTTCTACTCTCCTCTTTTCTTTTATCCTACCACTCCTTAAGCCATCTGTGACCTTCTTCTGTTTCCTTCTCGCCTATTATATCGTCCAACACTACTCTGTTAGTACTTTTCCATGCGCATTGTTTCATCAGATGTTCCAGAGTACCCTCTTCCCTGTCACATATGTTACAGTTCCTTTCCTCCTCTCGCAGCCAGTACCTGTTTTCTAACTCCTCATTCCCACATCTAGCCCTCGCCCTCCTTTTATGACTACCACTCTCCCCTTTTCTCCTCAAGTATTCTGGGAGCCCAGCCACCTTGATCCTCCTGTATCGTTTCTTGTATCTGGCCCCCTCAATTAGTATCTCTTGCTCTTTCCTTTGTCGCCTTCTATCTTTACTACTTAGCTCTTCTGCCACACACCTTCCCCGTTCTCTCCATTGTTCCAGATCCGCCTTTTGTACTCCACACCTACTTAAGTATTCCTCTCTCTCTGACCTCTCTTTTGTCAATGTTCCTCTTCCCTCTCTTTCCTTAATACATTCCACCACCCATCTTCTCCGGCCATATCCTTGTCTTGCCTTTTCTTCGAAGTTCACCGCCAACTTGGTTGTTCTTATCCTTATCTTGTCCCTCTTGGTTTCCTCCAGGACCACATAACCTGTTGTGCTTCTCTCCAGGCCCAGTGACCATCTCAGATACCGTGCCTCCACCCCTTCCACGTTACCATGCTCTAACCAACCCCACACTTCTGCCCCATATACCAACATGCTGTCTACTAAGCTGTCGAACAACATCATCCTCCTCCCCCAGTCATTCGCAAACTTCCTTTCTCCCAAGATCCATGTTTTCTTCATCACTGACGTTGCTCTTCTTACCCTCTCCCTAATATGCTTCGTATGACCTCCATTTCTCTGTAGTATGAAGCCCAGGTATTCAAACTCCTTCACCTCTTGGATCCTCTGGCCTTTCCAGAGCCAGTCTTTCTCTCTTTCCACACCCTCTCCCCTTCTGAATTTCAAGATCTTGGATTTTTCCACGTTCAGTTCTAGCTTCCTCTTCCTCAAGTACTTCTCCAGCCTCTTAATCATCTCCTCTAGCGCCTCCTCCTCTCTGGCCAGCAGAACGATATCATCCGCATAGGCCAGTGTCCAAATCCTGCCCTGCTCAATTCTCATGCCTCCTACCAACCCCCGGGTCAATTCCTCCTCCAGATCTGATGTAAAAACGGAGAACAGCAGCGGGCTCAGAGGACATCCTTGTCTCACTCCCTTTGACGTTCAAAGGGGGCTTGACTCCCTGTCCCCCACCCTAACCCTGTTACGTGTCTCCTGGTAAATTTGCTTCACTCTCTCCGTAAGTCCTCTCCTTACCCCTCTCTCGTCCATCACCCTCCATAACACACTCCTGTCCACCCTGTCAAAGGCCCCCTTTAAATCAATAAAGAAGGCATTCACCTTCTTTCCGGCGCCATTCAGCTTCCTGTCGACCAGGTGGTTCAGGATGAAGATGTTATCCATTACACCTCTTCCCTTCCGGAAGCCAGCTTGGGTCTCCGGAAGGATCTGCTTCTCCACCACATCCTTCATCACTCTCTCCGCCAGCACCGCCGCATAGATCTTATAGGCCGTACTTAGTAGGGTAATTCTCCTGTAATTAGCGGGGGATTGTTTATCCCCTTTTTTGTACAGTGGGGAGATTACACCCTCCTTTCACAAATCCGGCCAGCCTTCACCTTTCCACACCCCCTTGATCACCTCCTTCAGCTTTTCTCTCACCTGTCCCCTGCAGAACTTCCAGGCCTCACTTTTTATGCCATCCGGTCCTGCCGCTTTCCCCCTCCTCAATCTCCTTATTTGTTTTTCAATTTCTTCCTCGTCGTTACCCTCTTTCCTTTCCTCCCTTAGAATCCTTTCATCTGTCCCCTCTAACACACCCATGAAATGCTGCCTCCAACCCTCCGTGGATATCTCTTCACTCACCTTGTCCCTGATCTTCCTTTCCTTGTTGATATATTTCCAAACTTCTGACTCCGTCCTAATTCCATTCAACTCCTCCATTTCCTTTTTACTCCACTCTTCTCTCTTCTTCTCACAGAGCTCCGCTAACTCTCTTTTCACCTGCAACACCGCTTCCTTGCTTCTACCTCCTATTCTCCATTTCTTTAGTTTTCTTTCTGCCTTTCTTTTTTTTCTGGTGCACTCTCTGTCCCACCATTTCTTGTAACCTAGTTTCCTTTTTCTCCATCTGACCTTCTTCTCTACTACCGCCTCACTCACCTTACCTCTTAGTTCCTCCCATTTCTCCAGCAAACCCCCTTCAGACAGTCTAATCTCCTCCGTTCTTCCAGCGAAGATTCTTGTGCTCTCCTCGTCCCAGCACTGTATTATCCTCTCTGCCTGTCTTCTTTCCTCTTTTCTCCCCTCCCCTTTCAGGCCTTCTTTTGACGTCCATACACTCACCAAAGGCATATGGTCTGATTCTATCCTGCTCTTGACCTCAAATTTCTTTAGCAAGTCCCACCCTTCTGTGTTAACTAACAAATAGTCTATAATCGACGCCCCTCTTACTCCTACGTACGTAAATTCTCCCTCTTCATCTCCCTGTTTTGTACCATTCGCCAGACACCATCCCCCTTCCTCTACCCATTCTAACAAACACGCTCTCTCTTTGCTGATCTTTTTGTCCTTAGACCTTCTTCCTTCTACTACCCCATCTCTGTACACTCCCCCTTCTTCTCCAGTCCAGACATTGAAGTCCCCTCCAATTATCATCAGCTCTTCCGGACGCTGCAGCTCTGGGCTAGCTATTTCTTCCTTAAATTCCTCAGGACCATCCTTAGCGTAGACCGTACTAATTGTCCACTTGTAACCACCTCCTCGTTCCTTCTACTTCACCAAGTCTCTCCTACCGCCGTCAACCTCCTCCGTCATCATTACACCTTTTCTGTTTCCAATAATTATTCCCCCACTTCCCCTACCTCTACTCTGCTCTCTCACCGCATATTGCACGTGCCAGTCAACCTCAGGAGGTAGATTCCTTATCCAACCTTCCCCCTTATCCTCCCTTATCCAAGTCTCCACCATACCAACAAAGTCCAGCTGTCTTATAAACTCCCAAAAGTCTACTCCTTTTCCCTTAAGCCTGGCTACGTTCCAGAACCCTATTTTAATTTTGCCCCTAACCTTGTCGGGGCTCGGGCTTCTCGGATCCCGCTGTCTCTGCCGCGATTTTCCGGGCGTTCCCTTCTTTTGCTCTTCCCTCCTTACTCCGAAATTTCTCCTCCGTTTGTTTCAACAGCGAGACATGTTCTTTTCTCTCAATCTGTCTCCAACTGAACCATTTATCCACCAAAAAAGACTTCTGAACCCTTACATAAAAGTATTACTAGCTGGTTAGTAATAAATACTTATTTTGTGTATTAATAATACTAAAATTAAGTATTTATTAGTACTTGAATCACTGTGATCCAAGTATTGCATAGTATTTTATTATTGGTCAGTAATTTATAAAATTAGTATTTAATACAGGACGAGTATTGAATACTTAGTATTAAATTTCTGATGAGAAAGCATTTAATACTAGGTGAAAAATACTTGTGTAATAAATACTTGTGTTGAATTACTGATGAGTATTTCAATGTTAGTACTGAAGTACTGAACCAAGAATTCCATGTGTAATAAATCACTGGCCAGTATTTTAATATTAATACTCAAGTACTGAACTGAATATTCCATGTGAAATTAATCACTGACCAGTACTACAATTTGTATAGAAACATTATAAAGGGTAATTCCTGATAATACTAAAGAAAAAAGATAAAAGTAAGGCTCAAATACATTTTATATGAAGATCTGTACTAATTCGTCGTGATAAAAGTGTACAAGTTTTGAAATAGTACTGAGGATATCATTTTAATATCCAATTCAAAATTTTATTACTCTTTTTAAACTGAATGGGAGGGTCCCAATTGCCTACAAATCGATTGCCTACAGTGTCGTTTGCCAACATCTCATTTGCCAACAATTCGTTTGCGCACAAAAATTATTGCCTACAAGTCGATTGCCTACAAGCACTATTGCGCACAATTAAAAAATTAAGAGACGAATAGACGTTTGCACACAAGATACTATTGCACACAAGCCGAATTGCACACATAATATTATTGCCTACAGATCGATTGCCTACAAGCACTATTGCGCACAATTAAAAAATTAAGAGAAGAATGGACGTTTGCACACAAGATACTATTGCACACAAGCAACATTGCACACATAATATTATTGCCCACAGATCGATTGCCTACAAGCTCTATTGCGCACAAATAAAAAATTAGGAGACGAATGCACACACGACACTATTGCGCACAAGCAACATGGCACACATGAGGTCCGGTTTCTATTGTTGAACGGGCTACACTAGTTCAGAGGGCTGTACTTCTGAATGAACCGCCCTTCCGATTGAGACAGAGTTTTGCAGATGATTTTGTCACGATGGTAAATCTGAAGGAGAGCTCCCTCCTCACCGATTTCGCTGAATTTAGGCTTAATCGACGCGTTTTTGCACAAAACGAACGAATCTGGCAGAAAAAAGCCCCGCTCTGCCCCGCGAAGCGAGATATTAACTGTTAAAGTTGACGACTATCAGGTTATGAGACCTGTCATACCGACGCGATGTAGCGACTGGTAACGACCACGAACATGCCCTGCGGCCACATGCGCATGCTCCGTAGCCGCACGCGCATGCAAAAGGTCACGTGACAACTGTCTGTTTGGTAAGTACATATTTATGTGTACTTTTCACATACCAACTATTCTCTGCTTTAACAAATTATTTATGTTTTGTTAACTTAAACGCTTAATAACTGTAACAGAAATAATTTGTTAAAGCAGAGAATAGTTGGTATATGAAAAGTACATGTAAATATGAACTTTTCATATACCAACTATTCTCTGCTTTAACAATTTTATTTCTGTTTCGTTAACTTCAACACTTAATATCTGTAACATAAATAATTTGTTAAAGCAGAGAATAGTTAATATATGAAAAGTAAATATTTATGTGTACTTTTCATATACCAACTATTCTCTGCTTTAACAAATTATTTATGTTTCGTTAACTTAAACGCTTAATATTTGTAACAGAAATAATTTGTTAAAGCAGAGAATAGTTGGTGTATGAAAAGTACATGTAAATCTAGAGATTATTTATCGATGTCCTATCTTCTGGTTTTTAAAATAGTTTTTTAGATTTTAGCTTGACAATCGTAAACAAAGCGTGCGGCGCTCTACCTCAGATACGAGATATTTGTGCAAACAATCCAGCCGGAAAACATGCACCGTGTACCGGTGGCTTTATAGCATTTTCGACTGGGTCGGGTTTCAAGCCAACGCGAGTTGAGTTATGACTATGACGTCACAAGCTCTACTTATTCTAGGTTCTAGGCCGCGGTCCACTTGACGCTACAAATGCTTTGAAGCATTTTTTTTTCTTTTTTTTTTAATGAAGAAAAAAGGAGAAGAAGAACGCTTCGAAGCGTTTGTAGCGTCAAATGGACCGAGCCCTAATTAGACGATTCCAGCATGTGACGTAATAACCTCCCAAGCAGCATGTTGATGTTCTCCGAGTGTTCGCTGAATGTTACAACCATTACCTGAATAACTGTTATCTGAGTGTTAGGAGTTCGCGTCTAAGTAGTGTTCGAAGAATGTTCAGAGAATGTTCGCGATATAACGTTTGGCGAGCGTTCGTTAAACATTCGGATAACGCAAAGCGCGGGGGATATATTCTCTGTACGGGAGGCATGGGGATAATATTACACATTTTTTTAATCATATTTCTTTATTAACTTTTCTTTTAAATTGTTAAATACAGTGAAACCCGTTTATAATGTACAAGCTCTAGATCAGAAAACTGCAACGTTATACGCGAGACGACGTTAAATGCGGGATATATTTCATTTTGTAGATATTGCTTGGTGATACGGAATCAAAATGTTATAGCGGGAAAACATATGTAAGAGACATTATTATAAGCGGGTTCTACTGTAAGTGCAATAAACTATTTTAGAACAAAAATTGCATGTATTCATATTCATTTCATATATTCGTTTCTAAGAATCTATAATAAAGCATCTTATAATAATAAATTGAGAGATTTTCACTGACTCAATACAAAATAAATTTGACACATATCTATCACATATTAGTCTGGAAGAAATATACATTGATTAACATACATTAATAAGTTCTATAATTTGCACTATAAAGAAAAGTAAATATTATTAAATAATTTGTACTATAAAGAAAAATAAATATAATTTGTACTTTAAAGAAAAATAAATTATAGAACATGCATCTGTAACAATTTAATGTAATCTTTCACAAACTTATGTCAATGAATATTTCTATAACAAAGTGCCACTGCAGGCAAACACAAAGTAACAGTAATATAACTGTTCGTTATATATATCTATATAAAAGTCTTTATATATCTATATAAAGACTTATTTCTTAGTCCTAAAAGGTGAGTAACGCAAGTAGTCCATTATTGATTTATCAATAATTCTTCCATTGGCATCTGGGTGTACAAGTAATACTGCATCTGACAAAAAAAACAGGCAATATTGAATTTTTTTAACGTAGTCATAACATATTTTTAGCCCTGAATAAAAAATCTTCTAGTCGTTTTGTAAAAGAAAAGAAATATCTATATCAGACTATTTCTGTAGTACTTCAATAAACTAAAATTGTGAAGCAATCATACCTTTGACAGCTTTATACATGTTTGTAGGAGAAAAAGCAAGTTTTGGGTCGTTCCCTTTTTGTCTTCTCCCCATGTAACTGTAGAGACTGCCAACTGCGCGTGTGAGCAATTTTCTCATAATACGGTCAACACATCCTTCAACTGATGTTCTACCTTCGGTAGAAAGTCTTTTAGTCTGCAAACATTCAACACTTTCTTCAATCCCAAAAATTTATTGTAAAAGAATATCTTATGTTCTGCTGTAAAAATCAATGAATAGACTTCAAATCTGTACTTACAAGGTACTCCATTTGTGCTGCAGATGAAGCTAAACATTCCTCCATTCTTTCTGCTTCATTGATATTTTCAAGGGGTATTTGTGGCATTCCTTTAGAATGAGATAAGATTATTCCTTTATTCCTGAGTCGCTGCACTACTTCCTCCAATAATATTCCATGGTTACGTTGAGTTTCCTTCATAATCTCTACCATATAAACCAGATTTTTTACCATATCTGCAATGATAACAATAATTGAAAATTAGTATCCATACACTGCTTCTGTTGCAAATAAAAGAGATACTAAAGTTTTGGATTTTACCCATGCCAGTGGCCTTTTTTGGTGCTACAACTTGATTATCATGATCAGAATCTGTATAATTGTTATCGCTGTTTCTACTATGGGTTAGGTTTTTTTTTTCTACTTCTTATCGCTGCTTCTATTTTTCTTTGGTCATATAATCCAATACATCTACCTAGTATGGGCCAAACATCAACAGAACTGCTTTTGGAGACTGGCAAGCCATCAATATTTATATCTATATCCAACTGTAAACAATTCGGTTTAATTCCACTCTCCATACGTTTCACGAGCCCGTGCTTAATACCAACATGAACGTAACCACCATTATTTAAAGGTTTAATATTTACATAGACTGGTGTTTGCACTATACACCGTGGATCTGAAGGCAAGTCAGGATGATCAGGCTTAAGTTCAGTTAGCAACATTTCAGCTGAGTCAAATTAACACGCGAAGAACAATACCATCTTCGAAGGCGTACAACTAATGGCTCAATATCTGGTTCTTGATTCGATTCTGACAAACTACTATCAATACAATCACTGTCTGGATCTTGATTTGATTCTGACAAACTACTATCAATACAATCAATAAAAATTTCAGCCATTCTTGTCGGAGTTAATACTACATTTGTAAAATCCATAGCATAGTTATTAATTGAAGAGGAGGTTACAGATTCATCACTCAAAAAAGCACGAGAAGAACTTGTGTTTGGGGAGAAGAAAAGAACAGCTGCAGGATCATGCGATGTCCCCTCTTCTAAAAAGTCATCATTCGATATGTTTTGTACCGAATTATTTACTGATATCTGTGCCTTTTTTTGAATTTGACGTTTACCGACAAGTTTTTTCCCCGACATTGCTAATGTTCGTTATAAAATATATCTGACGTTTATAATAATATTGAGAGAGTCTTGTGAATTAACTTATTCCACCTTCTTAATCTGAAATACAAAACACCAAAACACTATAAAACATCAATTTTTACTAATTATCGTAACAAATAAGCAATCATGATTGTCATATAGAAACTAATGTAACTGCGCGGTTACCTAACCTCTATGCACGACTAGCCCACTTTTTCTTCTTCTTATTTTTATTTTGCTCGGGCTCCGGCCTCCCGATGGAGGTCAATACGGCCCATATATTCTGTCCCAAATGTTTCCAGAAATTTCCACATCGAAAAATCGAACCACAACGACGCAACCAATAACAGTCGACGACGAAGTCTGTGAACGGTCGGAATCAAGAATCCAAGTCGAACACGCGAAAATCTCAAAAATCACTCGTTTTATTGATGCAAATCAGAAATAACGATCACGCGACCCTGCGTCGTATTTCTAGCCCACAACAACGTTATATGTAATTCCTGCATATAGTCCGATGTTCGACGTACGACGACGATCCGACATCCACTAAAAAATGTTTGTCTCTAATAATCTTCCATAAGAAAAGAAACACTAGACTTACCTGGCATAATGATGCAATATGTTTATTCTTAGAACATTAAGTACCGAGCCTGATGCGTATGTGTCCAACATCTGTGCGGTAGTGATGAGTCCTCACTTGTCACTTTGGCTAACGGACTGACGCCATTTTGGCTACGTAGTTTCACTTTAACGAAAGTGAATTATTAGATGGCGCTCGAAGTGTTGCAGCCAAGTGTTCGTTCAACGTTTAAATCATAACTCTCTGATAGAATTTATTTTCAAATTGTTAGCTGACTGTTTGGAATCAAACAGCAAACATATTTAACACAGAACTAACATTCGGCGAACATAAGCATGCTGCCTGGGCTAACTCTGGTTATTTTATCTGGTACTTACGACGAGCGTTAAGCAGGGCACACTTACTTTTCGTAGAACGTAACAATAAGTTTT